ATTGATTCTGTCCAATCAGTCGATAATCACATACCAACCGTTGATAATGGGTGTTGCTAATTTTTTTTTTTTTTTTTTTTTTTTGGTTGACACCAATGTATTAGACAGTGTCATGGGTGTCTAACAAGTTATTTTCATTTTGAAAAATACAAAGAAATCTAACCTAATTGTTTTGACAATGTTTTGTGTTTGTATATTTTAGGAAAATTATACACTTAACTCGAATTTTTGTAAAGTATGGAGGAAGGTAGGAGTCTCAAAATAATGTTCGTACTACCTACCATTCAGACTAAAGCACTCTAAATACCTTCACATTTGACTATGAGCCTACTGAAATTGTTACATGAAGAATTACATATCCTTGGCAGCTCCATTGAGGGGTCCCTATCTAGTTTTCAAACAATTGTCTCATTTGCTAACATTTACTGTCTATATTATAAGCTACTAGATAATTCAATTCTACCCATCAAGCAAAAAGTACGCCAAAGTTTCAATGCAATTCTAATCATTATCATTTGCATTATCGTTAGGTGATAATTACTGTTGATAATCAGTTTTAATGCTAATCTAATTGATTAGATTCATCATTACAAGTACTTTATCATATTTAAAAAATTGTACAATGTAACATCTCACATCTATCGAACAAATTTGGGATTCAATTTATAAGATTTGGATTCTCGTAATTAAGTATTTACTAATTATCAATGTCACATCTCATATCATTGAACATAAATATAAAATTCAGTTTATAAAATCTAGAATTCAATTTATAAAAAGTGAAAGTCACTGAGGTGAAAATCACTTCCCGAGCTTAAACAACACCACTCTATCCCAATGACACTTTTTCATTGGGTTTTATTGCATAAAACAAACCCAATAAAAGGTATCACTTGGCCCATTTGGGTTCCTTTTTTAGGTTGGGCTAATTTACAAGTTTTGATGACCTGTGAGCTCAATTGATTTTCTATAATTTGAGGGATTTGTTATTGATGTGGGTTAAAAGCCCAATTCTTTTTGAGGTATTGGGCTTTACTATTGAAGTGGGCTTATTATTTCCTTGTTGTTCGAATAGGGCTATGGAGTTTTGAGACAATGAAATGTACAAATGTGGCCCATAATTTATGCCGAATGGGGGTATCTGCAATTTTTCTTGATCTTACAAAATATTCTTTGTCTATTTAATAAATAATAAATAAACTACGAAAATTATGTATATAAAGTTGTTAAGAGCCAACTGTTTCTTACTCACATAGCAATTCAGGTTCTGTCACACTATGAAGGAAGAAGAGCTATAAATAAATGGGATATAATTTTACAACTAAAATGTTGTCAATAATTACATAGTTTCAATATTGTGAAAGAAAACCACCCCTAGGTGACCGGTTGGTTTAATAGGAACTCTTGGGTGTATTACGTAAGAGGTCTTGAGTTCGATTCTCCTCGATCATTAATAGAGTTTACCCGGTAATTAACTTCAAAGTCTCGGATGTCAGTTGAGATGCGTGCAAACTGGTCCGGACAATCTCGATCACCATATATATATATATATATAGTGAAAGAAGTTTTATTGACAAAAAAATGAAAATATATTTCGAGTGTGTACAAGATACAAAGTATACTTATTTATTCTTTGTTCAAATATAGGATATACTTTTTTATTTCATTAACAATTTTGAGAAATCATATCACATGCATGAAACAAATATACATTTAAAGCACGAATACAATCAATTACTCGGATAAAATTACAGCTACAAATAGAATTGAGAAAAAATAAGAGGAAAAGAGAGAAGAACTGACTAAATATTATTTGCTTTAAACTGAACTTATTAAAAAGATTAAAATATGCATCTAATATATATAATGAATATACTATTCAATATTTAATTTGAAATAAGTCTTCCTATAATGCTACAAGCATGAGCATCTTCAATTTTTTACTATCTTTTATAAATGAAGTTAGACCAACTACTTTGCCTAACTCATTCAAACCACATATATATTTTTGCCCCTCCTTTTACTCTTTTCAACACTTGCAGAATCAAAAAGACAATCTCCAAAAACCTACCACCTCGTCCATACTCCCATCATTTTCTTCATTTTGTAATTTGTCACTTTCTTCCCCATTAATTTCATCCTCCAAACACTTAGAAACAACTATTCACTAGAAGCTTCATAATACCCATCTAGGTTAAAAAAAATAATACAAAGTCTTTGCAGCTATTTTGATATTCAAAGTCATAGATTAGGCCATAATGGATATATCTTTATATACAAATATATTCTAGTAGCTTCTTAGTAGTCATTGTCTTTGCTTTGTTCATAGTTCAATTATTTATCAAGTTACTTTGCATATTCTCTCGATTGGGTTACTATTCTTGTTGACCAAAAGGAGGGCATTGAAAAGAAATAAAAAAGGGACAATCTTGAATCGTGGATGAATTAATTTTTAGGTTAGGTGAGACATTGAGAAGAAATTTTTCTAATATAATAAACCCATCTTTTTGTTTGGGTTATTTTGTTTTCTTTTTATCATTTCAAAAGTATATATAGATTCGTTATAGTTTGATTTTAGGTGTAACAATGAAATCATTACACTTGTATAACTTTTTTTTATTTATTATTCGTTCTTCAAGAATAAAATTCTTAAAGGGTTCTAGTTTATTTTAAGTTAAGGTAAATTAATATGAGATTTTCAACTACTACCAAGCAAAATTGATAGGCTAATGAGTAAGTATATGAATAACATAATCCGAGGTTGAAGACAGAGACACTGATCCATCAAATTCGGAGGAATCCCTTAATGGGAATGGGTTTCACCGACCCTAATTTTAATATCTAGGAATTTGACTTTTTTTTGATAAAAAAGAAAATCATTGCTACAATTTTCGTTGGTAGAGAAGAAGATTATCGGGCTCTGGTGGCTAAGTCTTATTATGATTGTTTCTAGGATTGTGCAAAAGAATCTATTAGAGTCAGAATTGACTGGTACCCTAGGTTTTGGTTCCGGTTCCTACCCAGAATCGACCCTCATATGGTAAACATAATGTTATGGAATTTTTGAAATCTTTCTAATAGTGAAGGTTGCCATTAAATATTGATAGGAACAATTATGATAATTCTTTCCATAAATAAAATGATCAATTGGGTTGCCTAAACTCTCATGAGAACTACAGAAAGTGATTGTTAATAATGTCGTTTATACAAGAATAAATTAATAAATTGACATTCAAAAATAGACAATTGAAGATTAATTTATGAGAGAAGTGGCCAAAATTGATTGATTATGCAAGGATAGGCGAGAGTGAATCCATCATATAAGATAAACATTATTTTAGTTTCCACTTTTTTATTCTGAAGTTTCATAATCTGGCCCTCAATATTTGTCATGCTTCCTGTCCCATTTTATAATTTTTGCTTTTGGGTCTTTTTGTAGAAGATTATCAAATTCGTATCCTTTCCACATTACTTTTCAAGATTGTAAGGTAACTATCACTTAGACCCTTAAAGTTTGGTTTTATTTCGTTTATGCCAAAAATATCCCCTTGATTTCAGTAATACTAACGAAATCTTTTATCATTAGCCTATCAATTTTGCTTTAAATGATTGATCACTTATATTTGTTCAAATTTTTCGATCTAATATTCATTTTTAGATACTTAAAAAGCATTTGACTGTTGTTAATATTTTGAAACCCTGATAGGTTTTGTGGATATTAACCCAAATAATAGGTTCAAATGATACCACTTTTCAAAGATGAGATTCAACATAAAACCTATGACGTGTATGTAAAAGTATATTCACATCCAAAGAACGAGAGATAGTGTGTCTTTTTGTAATCATGATTAAGAGAAGAGATTTAAATAATCGTGATTAAGAGAAGAGGTTTAAGATAACCATGGTTAAGAGAAGAGATTTAAAGTAACGGTACAAAGGATAACCCAAAAAATAAAAAGATAATGGATTCCAAGGACCAGATTGGGACAGATTGGGAACATCTAGGCTAAAAAAAATTAAAGCAAAAAAGCAAAAGAATAATAGATGAGAGAGAAGATTCTCCTCAAAAACATTTTATCATCAACATAACCCACTAGAATCATGCTTCTCCTTTATTGATCCCTGAAATACCCATTCTAATTGTCTCCTTTAATTTACTAATTAATCATTTGTCACTTCATGCATATATTCCACCAAATAAAGAGAATAATTTGGTCTTGCTGATTGATGGGATTTCAATAGACAACTCTAAATATGTTCCTTTTTAATGTTTTTTTTCTTGTCAAAGTACCTTTATTTTTGGGTCAAAACATCAATTAAAACTCCCATTGGTCGAAACTCTAATCAAGATTATAGTATTTCAAGATATATAAATTATTTACACATGGGTTACTCCCTTTTTTAATTAACTATCTATCACAATTCTAATTTAAACTAAAAGTAAAAAGAATGTATGATTTTTAATTGACATGAATATATTTACTTGACGCTAAATTTTGGTATGAAAAATAGTGAAAAAGTGGGCTACAAGCAAAATTTTTCAATAACACTATATATTAAAAATATTATTCAATGTTGAATCAACCTGTTTCAAGACAAAAGAAGAAAAAAAATTCGAAACTGATAAATAATTGTATATAAATTTTCCCAATCTAGTCTGATTCAACATCGAATAATATTCTCATAAAAAGATCTGCATATTTTTTAACAACAAAGATATTGATGCTAAAAAAAGAACTAACATTACAACATCAAATCACAAATAATATGACCGAAACTCGACAACAATAATTTGGGCATAGCTAAAAGATGAAGAATTATTAAAACAAAGTGGATTTTGAATTGACAAGAAATCAAACAATGAATGTATAGATAATGAAACTTTTGGATGAAATGAAATGAAATTTTGCCAACTTGCTAAACGTAAGTTAGCGAAAAGCTAAAATTACACAACCAACAAAAGCACTAACTAACTAAAAAAGAAAAGCACTTGTAAGAAAAGTGATTAATTTCACTAGTTATTATTAGTAGTACTAGTACAAATAATTAAGAGACAATCTTACATGAGTTAAGAGATGCGTAATCTTTTGGCTTTTAACTTTTTTGAGCTTATTGCAACTTTTATTTCACTTGTTTCGAGGCAACTGTTTCCGAAAGCCATCTTTCTTCTATCCACTATTTCAAAGCTTTCTCTAAAGGCACTAACAAAGAAACTTACAAAAGGAGAAAGAAAAGGAAATTAAACAAAAGAGAAAGTGGAAAATGGGCCACCGAAAGTCAAAAACAATTTGATTTAATTACCAGAGCAGGTGATGGAAGAGAGTTGTAGTTTTTCTTTGTATATTTACAAATGGTATCATTTTCCATCTGCAAAATCAAAAGATTTAAAGAAAAATAAGTAATTTTTCCAACTTGATAATGTTATTGAATCAATAATATTAATACTTACTTTGTAGAAATAAAATTAAAATGAATAAAGAATATGAAAAGATGATAGACATACCTCTTTCTCCCTCGCATACTTTTCTTAAGAAAGAAAGAAATATAATGAGAAGAGCAACTCCAGCAATGAGTCCAATTAAGATGGCAAGTGTCTTCTCAATTTCTTCATCGTTGTTGTTTTCTACATTCAAAATTAAGAATCAAACAATTAGAAATCACTAATATTATCAAACAATGGGCAGTTAATTTTCAAAACCGGCCATAAAATATTTTGTATTACTCGGAAACTTTTACATGAATAATCTAATAACGCTTTCTAATCAAACGATATGTGATTTCGATATCGATTATGGTTTCATCCATACGAAATTAGGGTGTTGTCGTCACTTTGAGTAATTGCATCTAAATTTAAGTGGAAAATTCAAGAAACTTCAAAGTTTTTCTAAGTGATGAGGCTTTACAACTTTATGTTAGCATCGGATACTTTCTTTCTTTGAATTCTAAGAAGACATTAATTCAAAGTGGGACCTTATAAATTTTATTTTTACTTTCATGTTATGTATGATTATAATCTTAGTGCTTTACAGGTAACTTTGAATACTATAATATAGTGTTTAAATACAAGAAAATCCAAAGTAGTTTGACATCTTTTATTTTCTCCAAATAGTCAAATAGAAACTTCTCCTTAATTTGCCACTTCAAAATGAAACCCTAATTACATTTCATTGTCTCCCTTTACATTGAAGACTTTATAGTTTATATCCATTAAAACATTCATCACGTTTATAGCAACAATAATACTAAAACATTCAACTGATTCATTGACAATTGGATTAATTTTGAAATACATGATCCAACTTTTTATCAAATTATTTAAAAATTTTATAACCCATAAAGTGAAAATTTTCAACCATTCAAGTCACAGTCACCTTTGTTTCATACAACCCATCTAGAACCATAATCTTTTCACTTATTTCACTAATTATACAAATTTATAAAACAAAACCAAATTCCCTACGAGAAAAATCATAGACAAAATTCCCTAAGAAGGTATAAGAAAGTGAATTATAAGCTATAACACAATAAAGAGATGGTTAATTTGATAGATTAGTACATTAATTAAACAAAGTCACTAGTTACTTAGACATGGGAAATTTCCTTTTAGTCCCCCACACTCTAATAATTCACACATAAATAAAGAAAAAATAAAAGAAATTTACAAAAGATCAAACCAACATGCAAACTCAATAATTAATTTTACACGTCTTACCATAAGCTTTTAAATAATTTTCATAAAATCCCACGAAATTTAAGTCAAAAATAAAAATAAAAAATTACCGAAAACCAGAAACCACCACCCAACAAGGTGGCGAAACCGCTTACCGTCACCGCCGTTCGAGTGATCTCCACCTTTAGAGTAGCGCGCGTAGCATTTGGCCAAGTACATGTCACCCCACTTGGAGGCCCCACAGTCCGTTTTCAGCCGTCCGATCGCGTCAGATAAACAATCCTGACACTCGCTCGCACTCAAATCGCCTACGCACTGTGCCATACCGGCTAAATCCCCCGACCCGCCAACTCTGTACGGTTTGTAACTCCCATCACCCGCCCCCAAATAACCCAACAACGCATCACGCCGAGTCAACGCGTCAGAGTCATACGCAATCGACGGCCCACATTTCCTCACCACAACAGTCTTGTCCTCCACCCCTAAAAACGACGTATTATCGTACTTGACGAAACAGCCCTCCAGTTGCAAAGCGCCGCCGCACGAGTTGGCACAGATGGTGCCGAGTTGACTCACAGCTCGGGCGACGCAGCGGCCGCAGTCGGCGTTGTTGAGGTCGCCGCGGCATTGGAAGAGGCCGTAGAGAGCTTCTTGTGAAGTGGAGGAGGGGATAGTGAAGTTGTTGTAGGTGGTGAAGGTGGCTGAGTTGACTAGGGAGGTGAGCATCGAGTTGACGCTAGACTCGTAGGGGGTGCCTTGGGCGTATTTGAGCTGGGAGCAGCCTCCGAAGACGAAGGTGTCGACGGCGGAGGACGACGGGGTTGCGAAAAGTGAGAAAGTGATGAAAAGAATTGGAAAAAGAAGGAGAAGTAAAGAGATTGAAGACATGCTGAAGTGAGATGGAAGGCTGAAGAAGATGATGATGAATATTTGTGGGAATTATTTGAAGAATTTTAATGGAGAATTTGAAGAAAAGGAGAGAGCTTTTTCAGAGGAGTGGAGAGGGAGTTGCTTTAAGGAAAATTTACGTAAGGAAGAGAGTAACTTGATATATATTTATTATCATGTGTTTGTTATATGATTGTTTTTTTTTTTTTTTTTAATTTAAGTATTTTTAATTAATATAATGTAATTAAAAGGTAGAGTAGTTATTGGATTTATATTTTTAATTAAGGTTTATCAGTAGATTACAAGTAAATGACAGATTATATAGGAATCGAATCTATATAATACTAATTACAAGTTTGGTAATCTTTTTCTCGTCGAAATGATGTTTTTTTTTTTTTTTTTATAAGCATTTTCAGCATTTGAATATTTTTTATAAGTAAATGAGAGATTATATAGGAATCTAATCTATCTATATATATATATATAACATTTGAATAATGAACAGGAGTATCATTTTCAGCATTTTAGAAATGGAAGATTAAAGAAATTCTGTTTGTAAAAAATATATAAAAAAAGAAAAATAGATTTAAGCTTAAAGTCAATTAAATATGGATTAGAGAGTGTTAATGGTTGACCATACTGTTAACTATTTTATAATGGATACATGTGTAACTTGTTAATGGGGCATAAGTATATGACACTCTCAATGGTGTGGCACAACTCCATTGTTGCATAGAGTACTTTATCAATCACTAGATGTTTTGAGGCTTTTAAATTATTGAAATTTAAGTGATATTTGATTTTTCTTTATAGAGAGTTAAATCGGCTTGGAATGATTTAACTACTTATGGAATGGGATTGAATTTTATTAAATTTATTTGAATATTTTACATTAATTTATCTTTTTTTTTTTTTTTTTTTTTTTAATTTCTTCCCAGGTATATTGATAAAACTTGTATATAATAACCCTTCTATGATAGCCTAATGGTAAGGACAAATCAAGAGGGCGGTACATGGCTTCGACCCACGATCTTAAGTTATTTCTCGTTAGACTTACCTAAGGGGCCGTAACGATTAGTTGTTGTGGGATAACTTCCTTTGAAGTACGTGTAAGCTGACCATATTACACTTTAATTAACATTATATATGAAAAAAAATCTATTAAGAATGATTTGAGTGTTACTTCTTCTGAGTTGTATGTAAACTGATATAAACACCTCAGTTAACCAAAAGAAAAAAATAAAATATATATGTGTGTGTGTGTGAAATGGGAAAAAAAAAAACATATCAAAGAATGACTTGGGAGTTGACGATGACTAAGTAAAAAATACCTTAAATGGGAAATGGAGAAAAATCTATCACGAATGACTTGGGAGTTGACGATGACTTAGTGAAAAATACTTGAAATGGAAGCTTATAATTAAACATTGGATAAAAGTTGGTATAATTTAACTTTAATCTAATGTAACCCTAAACTTTTAAGAAGTAGACTTGGAATTAACATACTAAAATAAGAGCATAATTTCTGGTGGAAAATAACAAAAAGTACGAATATGACTTATAAAACACTTCACCTGTAATAGGATTGACAATCTAACTCCTAAACCCAAATGATCAATTTCAAATTCCTCCTTTTAAGTTGAATTTTGAGTATATATTTAAATATAAAACTTAAATTTCTATATAATAATAATGTCGAGTCAATATCGAAAACTAGTGAAAAAGATATCGTACATTCATATTCATTATCAATTCAATGATTAAATTGGTCAAATAATGTAAACTGATTCGATAACATTATCAACTAATACTAACTAACAAATCGGCCTATAACTCATTTATTTTTACTACTGAAAACTAGTACATCTAGTTAATAAATCTTCATAAAAATACCTAGCTATAATTCATTTACCTTATTGTCTCATTTACACATTCTTCCTTTATATTTAATATGTACTGGCATATTGCAACAAGAAAAATAACTAATTAATGCCCAATTATAATAAAGTTAAGGAAAAAGATATATTAATCAAATAATTCCCCCTTTTTTATTGGATTAAATTTAAAACAGAGAAATTATATAAAATGATACTATTTTAGGTAGGGAACTTAAACTAGCACTTTTTTAAAACTTTTCAACAAATAGCATAATTCAATATTACACAAATTTGAAGGACAAAAATGCTTTCATATATAAATAAACCTTAAACATTCACTCATCTTCTTCAAACCCATCCTAATCATTCCCTTCATTGGAGACTTTGCAAACTCTACCCATAAACTGATTTTGCTATTTTACGGATTTCAGTTGATTTGACTAGCATTTAAGATTTTGTTGGATTATTTAAATGTAGGGTTTTGATGGAGTTGTTGGTTTAGGATGTCAGATGGGCTTGATTGTTGTTTGATTGTGTGAATTTGGTTGGTTTTAATGGCTGTCAACTATGGAAAATGAAATAGAGGACCTGCGTTTTTTTTTACAGATTGGGGATATCAGTCAGATTTGGTCGGATTTGGTCGTTTGGGCAGCCCAAGGTTGAGGATGACAAAAAATGGCAGAAACTAGCCAATAAGGGATATCAAACACTTTTTATACTAATAAGGGATATCTATAACTTTCACAAATGATATTTTATTTTGTTTGAATACGTACGGTGTCAACTAGGTAAATTATAAATACCCCCTATTAGTCGATATTAGCCATTTTTCATCGTCTTCAATCTTGGTTGCCAAACGGCTAAATCCGGCCGATAAACAATCCCAAGTTTCATTAAAAACATTAAAATCCTTTAATTTTCAACATTTTCATCTAAAATTAACCCAAATAGCCAATATTAACCACCCATTTACATAAATATCCTTAGATTTAGTAGGGATTATATTTATAGAGAATGGCTAGATGGGTTTTAAAGGTTGAAGAATGAGTTTTGGTTTAAGGTTGATGAAAAACTCAAAGGGGCATTTTTGTCCATAAAATAAAATTGTGCTATATTATGAGAAACTTTCCAAAAAAAAAAAAAAAAATGTTAGTTTTCAACTCACACCTCAAAATAGTGTTATTTGATATAATTTTCTCAATAAAACATTTAAAAATCAAATATTCTTGCAATATATAATTTTGAGTATTGTTCAATACTACTTGTTTCTACCTTGTGCAACAATATTTCCTACCAGACATTTGTTTGGTACATTAGTATGATCCAATATATGAAACTGCATGGAAATATCATCCTGTTTCCATTGACAAGACTTGATACCTTTCATTAATTATCTGTAAATTGAGGTCAAAATTATCAATAAATAGATCATTTATGAAGGGGGGGCAACTTTTTATTTATATACGTAATTAAGTACTTATCCATTGTTCTTGTCATTATAACTAAACAGTAAATTTAGATAAAAACATTTTTTTCTGACTCGAATGTTTTTGTTAAATATATTCAAGAGAATCTTATGCTTTAATTATAAATGATAAACACATTTTTTTCATATCTAATGTTTTTGTTATATCTTTCAAAGAAACATATGCCTTTGAATAAACACATTTTTTCATGAAACATTTTCAAAAAATATGCCTATTACTTTATTTTTGTGTAGCGATTGATAGCTAGAAAGATTATTGATATTGTTCTAGCACTTTTCTTCTAGAAGAAAATTCTTAAAGTGAATCACAAAAACTAACTACTCAATCGTATGAATCTATGAACTACATAATTTTTGAGTTTTCTCTAAAGAGATCTAGATGAAGAAAAAGTAAGAGCAGGATGATCACATTTTTATTCTTGAAAACAAGAATTGCACAAAAAATTTATGAAAAATGATTAGGATGAATTAAATAATGGTAAAGAGATTCAATCATTTGGGCAGTAAGGTGCAAAAGAAATGGATAAACTAAGGAGATAGTAGACAAACGTGAAATAATTAAATTTGATATAATCTTATGATATCTTTTATGGTGTCCTTAATTATATGGTATACAGTACCTGCAAAAGATGACTCCAATCGCAATTGAATCTACTTTATTTATTTTAATATATAGTTGTTAAGAGAATTTATTTTGTTCCAATGCAGGCCCACAATGCAATTTTGATCCGACATAGGTGAATGGTCTTGGACATTTTTTTAAATTTTGTAAAGCGTAGTGCTTGGTTTTGACGTTGAATAGAAAGACTTTTAACTTCTATTGGGGGGGAATTTTTGCTTTGAATTCATATTCATTTATGTGAAATAAAATACAACTATTTTTTAATTTTAAATAATCCAAAAATCTCCCAAATAAAATTTTCCTTTTCTATACATAGAATGGCCTTAAATTTATGTTAATATGAATCATTGTTACATGGCATTAGTTTTTGTAAATTAAAATCAAATAAATTTGATCGGTCTCTTGCATTAAAATCCTGAATTGACACAGCCCAAAATGCACGTAAAATTGGAAACTATTAATAATCTCTTTCCAAATTTGTCTCTTCTTGACGACCAAAAGTTCTCCATTAAACACGCAAATATATATGTTCACATGAAAACTAGCTGTAGCTTCGTGGTTGGAAAGTCATGAAGAAGACTGAAGAAGACGTTGTCGTGTGCAGGAGGAATAAGTGGTTGTTCCATCAAATTAAAGAGAAAGAGATGGAAGATGGAAGATGAAAGGAAAGTCACATTCAAATTCAATAATGAAATGAATTAATGAGAGATGAGAGTTTGTATTTTTGTATGTATTTTTGATTTAAAATTATGAGCCCACAAGAACTTTACAAAGTTTTGGCTTAACCTCCGACCAAATTGTTGTCATTTTGCATTAGTGATAAGGTTTTGCACGACCTCCACATAGCTCCATGCTTCTCGATTTAGCCTTAGCTTCTGTGTTTGGTGCTGGATTCATTTTGCTCTTGTCTAGAGTTTGAGCTGGCCGTCTATTGTTCAGGCATGGCTAGGGTTTGTCCATCACATAAAATGTTTCAAATTTTATGTGTATTTCATGTTATTTCTTACATAAAAACTAAAACTTTGACCATTCCGATTTCAGTTTTTAATACAAGACGATTGAATCTATCGTTTTTTATTTCATTTTTATTTTCTATCTTTTCTTGAAATGTGTGCAGTATCATTCACTTAATATTTTTATTTATTAAATAAAATACATGATAAATGAA